ATCTTTGTAGAACTCACTCTATAGTGTAAATATCTTTGTAGACCACACGCTATAGTGTAAATATCTTTGTAGACCACACGCTATAGTGTAAATATCTTTGTAGACCACACGCTATAGTGTAAATATCTTGGTAGACCACATGCTATAGTGTAAATACCTTTGTAGACCACACGCTATAGTGTAAATACCTTTGTAGACCACACGCTATGGTGTAAATATCTTTGTAGACTGCACATTATAGTGTAAATATCTTTGTAGACTACACACTATAGTGTAAATATCCTTTGTAGACCACACCTGCCGTATTTTCACAAAAAACAGAATCAAATTGATGTACTGTGACAAGAATTAAAATACTGTCATCCTGAACATACTGTGAGAAATGAATTCCACATGATTTATTGTTGAATAATGTATGTGTTGTTAATCTATACATATATGTATATAAAGATTTATACCATAAAATACCTACCAGTATATATATATTGGATAATAAAGATATAACATTGTAATGTCATGCTGATGGAGGATTAATATTAATAATGACATATACATAGTTAAGAAAAATTTCATGTCAGTTAAAAATATAAAACAATGCTATCACATGAAGTTGTGTCCATGCATTGACTGTTTTATTAGCACAATCTTAACAGCCTTATAATTAAACCTGCTTAAGAGTGTAAATCCATGAGCTGTAAAGTAAAACATCAGGCAATAAAAAATATAATTAATCCATGGAAAAACTTAAAACTATTACTTTTTACTAACACATAACCAAAGGTATCATGGGTAATTCCATTACTGTATAACTCTGGTGGTAGACATGATCATCCATTGTGAAGTGTTTCAATACAGTTTTTATTAACAGTAATAATAATACTAAATTACTTACTTAGAGTCATGTTTTCTTTCAAAGTCAATTTGCATCGAGGGCTCTTTCTTTCCTTTACCCTGCTCACGTTCAGATAAATTGGAACTCTTTGACCCACTACAACTCTCCACAGAGATCTCTTGGTTAGATGACTCCTTTTTATTTTTATCTAGTGACTCCGATCTAGACACAAGAGTAGCTTTCCCCTGGATGTCTTTCTGTGCTTGTTTGTTATTTTTTGTTGCAACTGGTTTAGAAAGTCTTTGTTCAGGACTTATTCCACTTGATTCTGATGAAGCAGTGGAAATGATGGATCTTTTAGCTCGAACTGCTCTCTTAGCAGCTAAGTTTTTAACAGGTTTTCCTCTTTCGTTTGAGATGGACGGAGATTCTTACATATCAGCCAGAAAAGAAAAAAATATTTTGAATTTTTTATCATGCTCAATAACAAAATCTCTATATGCAGTCAGTGATAATAATAAAAACATTACTGTACGTACACATTCAAATATTCTACTACACTACTCGAGTGTTATAAAAGGTTTTTTCAAGCCATGAAAGAAATTAATTAGATATAAACAATTCACATCTGAAGCTTTAATAAGGTTTATTGTTTCTTTTTTTCATAATTACTTTAGGAACAATATTTTCCTTATTATGAATACTATCAACAGTTTTTTTTTCTTTTCTCATGTACAACAAAATGTTTACATAAAAAAATTTGAACAAGAAAAAAAAATTTCAAAGTTTAACTGCAAATATATTTGTTAACTTAATAAAAGAGTATGTCATCTTTCGCATATTTTTGAAACCAAATTTAAGAATTACAGATGCGAACTGCTGGTAAAATGCTGTCATGTACACTACAGTACATCATATATGAAACAAAAAAAATTAATTTATTGTGTATTCCAATCACTTAAATAGATTAATATAACTGTACACATTCATCACCAATAAAAAAAAAGTAATAAAATTAAACACATCAAGCATTCTAATCACGAATGTTAACGAAGGTAGCATTTAAGAAATATCAGGGTATATCTTTCTTGCGGAACACACAAAACAGTACTTGTTGGTTTCAAGAACCATCACAAATTTAATGTTCATTGAACAACATATCAGTATAACCATGTATAAGCAAAACTACACAATTCACACTAAAAACATCTTGTGAACAATAAAAACCCATTAAACAGATCTGACAACAATCGTAGGTATGGCAAAGAAAGTAATTAGTAAAAAAACGAATGCAACTCAACTAATGACATAATGTCATATTACTATATGATAGTATTAGTAGTATGTGTAGTACTAGTAGTAGTAGGCCTCCTATTGTAGTTGTAGACCGATTACAGCCTCCCAAAATTTCTATCAAATATCAGCGTATCATTCTACCGCTCATCTTTATTCTAGACTTACGATTCTGTATTGTTAATATCGTCTTGGACGTATCTTTTCCAGATCCACCACGTATTCGTTCTAATTCTTCTTCTGTGAATCCTGACCACTCCATCATTAACGTAACTATGCTGGCTAAATTTCTGCTTACGTTTGTATGTACCCTGTCGTTCACATAGTGAACTACTTAAAGAACCATTTACAAGATTAAAATCGTATTGTTTAAAATATTAAATAAAAGCTATAATATTCATTTTATAGTAAGCAATTAACGACATTTTATTTTTTATGAATTAAATTTATAATACCACGCTACGTAAATCTAAAATACTTTTAACGAATCTTCATTTAACGTAAGTTAAAATCAAAGATGGCTGCACCGTGTAATCCATAGCTTGTTTGTAAAACAATTCACTGCGGAAAATAATTAAACGATAATCAAAGTGCTATAAATTATAATAATGATCATTCACAATAACTGTTATTAAATAATGTAAATAGCACATACCCCGAGTTTATTTTTAACTAAACCAAGTGTCCGATAGCCTGTTATGTTATTTGACATGTACGTTTTAGTTTATATAAAAGTGAAGGAAACACAGTGTGTTCTCAGCAATAGAAACAACAGGAGAGGGCATAAAGTTGTCCAGTTTGATAATTAAATATAACAGAATCCCACGAAAGATATTTTGACATTTCCATGATACAGTGTACTTAATGCTATGGGTTAACTCGAATCGTTATTGTGTAGACGATTTTTCTGAGCTGTCGAACTATTATTATGATTATAAATTAAACTTGTCAGAAAACATTCTCCACCATTAGCTCAGCGGTAAGTCTGCAGGCTTACGACGATAAAATTTGAGTTTCGATACCCGTAGTGAGCACAGCACAAATAGCCCATTGTGTAACAACCAAACCATAAAACATTAGTGTTAATCCTTTTATATTTTTATCACTACATTGTTTATTCAGTCCCTCAGGGTTTTTCAAGAAGAAGGGTGTATAATAGTATTTAAACCATACTATGTCTGCCATATCCGTTAGCGACGACGTGTTTCGCTCAACACAGAGCTCATAGGTTAGGACTGAAAAACAATAAACACAGTAGTGATGATTGCAACACTATTTATATATATCACATATTACAACAAAGTTTGGTTGAAACACTATTATACACTCTTCTTTGTCTTAAAAACCTTAAAGGATTGAATAAATAACGTATTCGTCAAAAACATAATAGGCCTAACCTCAAGCGTTACCAGAAGCTAGATAAACACAATAAGTCGTTGCAGAATGGCTAAAAGTCTCACAACGTGTGACCAACAGAATGTGGAATCGTTTTCTGACCCCCGTTTCTAGGAAACTGGACAGGCCTAAGGCAGATCGCTGCCAACAACCTTGCAAAATAACCACAATAGGACAACATGGGCTCGAAGCAATTGGCGTGTGTCAACTCTTCAACTGAATGAATAGTTCAGATTGGCAACTGCAGGACAAACCCGCGTGCAAACCAATGGCGGATCCAGGATTTTGAAAACGGGTAGGCGCAATGATTCTGAACGTAAACGAGGAATTTTCGAGACTTCTTTGGTAGAGGTTAAATGGGTTATTTAGATTTGTTATAATGTTTGACAGATGTTGTTATTGCTTCTTTACTTAATTTTTTTATTTAATATGAAATTTCACTCTACATTATTTCCTCCACAAAGATCCAATTTTTGCAATTATTTTGATTTTATTTTGAAAACGGGGGGGGGGGGCGACCAGCGCACCGGACCTATATCCGCCCTTGCAAATGGTCAGAAGCACGTTTCTTAACGTTTGGTGTATACTAGATGACCAATGGCGAGTTTTTCTAATTCAGTCACAAAATAGTGGTTTGGTTGGTTTATTTTGAATTTCATGCAGAGCTCCTACAGGGATATTTGTGCTACCCATCCTTAGTTTAGTAGTGATAGACTAGAGGGAAACAAGTAGTAAACACCACAAACTGCTATCTCTTGGGCTACTCTTTTTATCAGCGATTAGTGTGACTGACTGCCAATTATAATGCCCCCACGGCTGAAAGAGCGAAGATGTTCGTTGACGGAGAGTTCAGTAGAGTCAAGACCATATAGACTGTTCAAACGAACATGTGAAATGTTCTGGACAAACATGAATCACGCTTCAGATTGCAAATAGCATCAGTAACGGTGGTCACACTGACCTTTATGCCATGCAGTGGTACAACATTAGTAACGATGGTCACATTGAACTCTAAGGAATGCAGTGGCACAGTATCAGTAACGGTGGTCACACTGACCTTTATGCCATGCAGTGGCCCAGCATCAGTAACGGTGGTCACACTGACTTTTATGCCACGCAGTGGTACAACATTAGTAACGGTGGTCACACTGACCTTTATGCCATGCAGTGGCCCAGCATCAGTAACGGTGGTCACACTGACCTTTATGCCATGCAGTGGTACAACATTAGTAACGGTGGTCACACTGACCTTTATGCCATGCAGTGGTACAACATTAGTAACGGTGGTCACACTGACCACTATGCCATGCAGTGACGTAATTTTGGTTTCAAAAGAGAGGGGGTTTGTGTAACAATTATATGTACGAGTGTATCCTATCAAAACAATTATTCTAGCCTTGAAAAAGTACGGGGGACATGTCCCCTGTTGAAATTACGTCTATTATGTCATAACATGGTACCTTGGATTGTTATTGACATATGCAAGTACCATTTATCATAGTTTTCTTCTGGTAACAAGTATGGGGCGTACTGGGCTTTAACCAGATTGATCACCTACAAGATTCTCCTTTACTTTAACCAGATTGATCACCTACAAGATTCTCCTTTACTTTAACCAGATTGATCACCTACAAGATTCTCCTGTACTTTAACCAGATTGATCACCTACAAGAATCTCCTTTACTTTAACCAGATTGATCACCTACAAGATTCTCCTTTACTTTAACCAGATTGATCACCTACAAGAATCTCCTTTACTTTAACCAGATTGATCACCTACAAGAATCTCCTTTAAGAATGTTTTTATCACTTAATAGACTGAAAAGTACCAAACGAGCAATCTGATATACAAATGGTAACTCCATAACTATATATTTGCATATATTTCATTGCACTCACACGACCTAGTTACATGAAACTCAAGGATGCCAATGAATTTAATACAGGGTGTCCCGAAAAGTCTGAAACCATAGATAATTTACAGTTGTTTTTTTAAATTTCAGATACGTGACTGATTATGACGTTGTCAAGCAAAGGTCGAGTTAATCCTGCGGTTAATCCGAACTTGTTTCGAATTACAAGGACAACACGTGGATTATGTTTGTTTGAAGTTAAGCACAAAGCTACACAAAGGGCTATCCGTGCTCTGCCCACCACGGGTATCGAAACCAGGTTTCTAGCGCTGTAAGTCCGTAGACATACCGCTGTGCTACTGGGGGGGGGGGGCAACACTTGAAACACATTCTGAAAAATTCGTTGAAGTGCTTATGGTTCCAGACTTTTCGGGCACCCTGTGCCTTATCATAAGTAGTGTTATTTTTTAATTATTTAGTAGAGTGTAAATAACCATGTAATTTTCTTTCACCGTAACCATTCATACTTGCTAGCACCTAAATTATAAATTTCGCTTATAGCTACCTCATTTAAAAAAAATTAAAATTAAAGCCTTTAGACTTACCGCTAGGCCAATGAGAGGCTCAAGTAGGCACTTAATATTCTTATATTTTGCGGTATTAATTGGAATGAAATTCTAGTGCCCTAGAATCATTTGATCGTAATTATCACTAGATAAGAGATCGTAATTTTAAAATTAATTAATTAGTTGTTGAATCAAGAGCTGTTTAAATTTCTATAGTAGAAATCCTACAAACAACTACCGGGAGTGCTGTAGCCCCCCACTTTTACATATTTGACTTATATAGCAACTGGAGTAGCGGCTCGTAGAATGGCTCCGAGTTTTCAAGTATAAACTTTTAGCTCAAAGCTCCGTCATCTCTTGACCGATTTGAGATCTAATTACGGTTTTGGACTTGGGAGGTCAAATATTTTCGATTGGTGTATCTTACCACACCCAAGATCTCGTAGATTAGTTTACTCTAATTCTGCCTAAAATAATTTAAATCTGAAGGTAGACTGGTAGAAATCCTGACGAGTAATAAAATCGAATCGGGTATAGTGCCCCCCCCCCACGCTTGGTATTGCTGGCGCACAAAAATATTGCTAATAAAAAGGAAAAAAAAAGGTCTGGTAGATTAATTTACTCTAATTTCAAATGCTGCGGCTATTGAGAATTCCATCTTGTATTATTGTATTAATTTTCTAGGGGGTATGACCCCCCCCCGGACCCACCTAGATTGAGCTGCATTTAGCTCCTTATACTTTCAACATCTCATTGTAAAATCTGCATGTTTATCCAAGCACCAGCATCCTGTAACCCCTTCTAACACCACATTTGGTGAAATTATATCCAGAGGTCGGTGTTGATGCTTATTCTACCTATTACATCGTTAAAATAATATATAATTAACTAATTTACAGTATATGACGCATTCTTTTCACACACTAAAAATGATTAGAATATGGAAAAATTTCATAATACGTGACGTCAGATACGACAAGGTAATATAACTGGTTGACTGTCTGGAACGATTACTTCTATTGTCCCTATCTTTGCTGATTTGTCAATCGACATTGTCTCTTTGTATTGCGAAAATGGTTTACAGTGAGGCGTTTGGTTTTAATAATAGAATTGGCTCACCAGCAGATGTGAGTTCTGATTCACGTTAACGAAGGACCAGAGATTCAGTTTTTTTGTATAACTATAAAATAGACGTAAATTTAAAAAAAAATTGATGGTTGTTTGTCCTGGAAAGTTTTATATATGGTGTTGAATGATAACGTTGATTTAATAACGCTATAATAACATAACTTTACAGTTATTTAAAAAGGTTTACATTGCATACAAGTTCAGATTTATCTGTACCCTGCCAGGAAAATATATTTTCAAATTAAATTAATAAATATTTCTTTTTTTTTAGAGCAAAGTCTCACTGGGTTATCTGCATTGTCCATCGCGGGAATTGAACCATGGATTTTAGCGTTGTAAA